AGTAGTGAGAGAGGATCTTTACCCTGAAACCCACAGCGTCCCTTTTCAGCAGGAAGTAGCTAAGAGAATACGCCATCCCCTTTTCCTTATGACTCGGGGTGAAGTCTCTCTCAGGGAGGAGTGATAGGGAGTGGCAAAGGACACACTGACAAGGAAGATTGATCAGAACTGACTTTGACAAGCACTGTGGCATTTGGACAGGAACAAACTGGGAGGAGGGTGGAGAGAATAGTGCAACAATGAATGAATGGAAATCCAAAATCTCTGTAAATGTTTATGAAAATCAATAAAATATAGAAACTAAAAAAAAGAAACTCTTATTTTGAAAAGCTGTATCTATAAAATACAGAGTTTTCATAAAAATTGCCCTAAGTTTTAATTGAAAGTTATCTTTATGAATTGATAAGACGTTTTATCTTTGAGCACAGGCACATGTTCCCTAGCTCTATTCATGGACGAGCCTAAAACAATGCCATATCCAGGAGCAATAGGCACCCCAAGCTCCAGGGTCCTTTTCTAGTAAAAAGATCCAAGGCTGGTTCTTACAGCAAAAGTCTAAAAGCGTGAAATATACAAGATGAGCTTCAAGTACCTTGGCATAACAGAGTACAAGAAAAAGACTATTCGGGGTTATGTAAATAAGAGTAAGGATCAACTTCAAGCTGCCATTGATAAAAGCTGAGAGTGCAAAGACTGAACCACTTCCAACTGTGCTTAAATACATTTTAAAAGGTACTGACATAATTTTTTTCGAAGTGACAGGGAATCAGCTCCTACATTAAAAACTGATGAGAAAGTGAAAAAAAAAAAAAAATCCACCTTTCCTAATGATCTGTATTACCGAGTAACTAACAGAAATTTGAGAAGCACATGCCATCAGCAGCCAGACTGAGAAAATCTGCACTGGTTTCGGTTTTTCAGCAGAAGATATCCTGTAATATAAATGACCTCAAACTTTTCTTAATGGACAAGACTGGCATGTCCAGGCATATGCACTTGCTATAAAGAAATGCAAGAAACCAGTCAGTGTAAAGGTCAAGACGATGGTTCCTGCTGAGAGGAGACGGCTGTGGTATGGACAGAATCCAGGGATGGACAAGTGAGGCAGCTGTCCACGTGCGGTGCTTCCTCACTGAGGCTGGGCTACACTGAGTGTTAAACATACACAGCAGTTCACTAAGCAAGCTCGACATTTATTTTAAAATAAACAAGTTAAAATATAAAAGAAAAAAAAAATCTATGGGATTTCCACTGCCTACAAAGTTGTTAAACACAGAACTCCAAGTCTTTTCTAATTGGTCTCAGACTGTATTTCAACTTTTTCTTGCCATGATCACATCCTCTCTTCACATTCCTTAGCTGCCACCACTTCCCAGCAACACTGACAAACTAACCTCCAAACAAGTCATGATGTTGTTTTATTAACTCTGTAGTCCCTTTGCTGATTCTAAAAATTCTATTCGTGCTTCAAGATTAAGCTCAGAATCTACCTCCTCGAAACCCTATAGTCAGTATTATATGTTCCTTTTCTGGGGACTCCACAGAAAACTCCCAGCCTCTTTAGTATATAGCCTATTTCACTATGTCTTGTATTGCTTACACCTGAGGCAATGGAAAGAACAGAATCAGACAAACCTGAATTTCAACTCCACATTCAATTATTCAAAGAATATTTACCAAGAGCCTACTACATTGAGTAGGTTAGGGATTCCACAGTAACGAAGTTAATCCAGCCCTCGTATACTGGAATTTATATTCTAATGGGAAATGCAGATCAATAAACATGCTATAATTAAAATGCCAAGTGGAAAGTGTTTCTAACAGAAGTACACAAAATAAGCCTCTAGCATATGTCTAACCTTGGCAGGGGGTTGGTAAAATGGTTCCCTCGAGGGAAAGTGATTAAGCTGAGACTTTAGCGTAAAAAAACCTCATTGCCATCGAGTCAGAACCAACTCATACCTAATCCTCCAAGGGGTTTTCAGAGGCTGTAAGTCACATGAGAGGAGAATGCCCATCTTTCTCCCAGAGTTGCTGGTGGATTTGAATCACCTACCTCTGGGTTTGCAGCACAACTCCTTGTCAATGATTTTATTTTGCTTGAATCCACAAGGAACATAATAACATTAGTCAAGAAGTCAAAAAGACATGTTACTTTGGAAAAATATGCTGTCAAGGACAATTAAAGAGGAGCAATGCCAATTTAAAAACTAAGGTGCACCTGATCCAAATCTTTTCAATGACTTCCTGTGCATCTGAAATTTGGACTAAGAATGAAGATTACAGAAGAACTGATGCCTTTGAATTGTAGTGTTGAAGAGTACTGACTATCCCATGGAATGCCAAAAAGAATGCCTACATGTGTCTTGACAAAACAAAGTGCTCCTTAGAGGCAAGAATGATGAGACTCTGTCTCACATACTTTGGGCATTATTTTTAGGAGAAACCAATCCTCGGATAAAGCTATCATGCTGGGAAAGATAGAGGGTCAGTGAAAGACAGGAAGTACCCACAAGGAAATGGATTGACACAGTGACAACCACATGAGCTTGAGCATGACAGAGATCAAGAAGACAATGCAGCACAGGGTAAGGTTCAGATGTGTTGCTCATGGGTTGTAGTTCATTTGATGGCACCTCACAACAACAGATGCACAGAGAGAAAGGCAAGACCAAAAGGTATGCATAGGCGGAGAATATACCAGAACCACATAAACTTGGTGGACAATATTTCTACATATGCATCTGTATTGTGGCTGCAAACAGATCCAGAGAGATCTCTAGTGGTCTAAAGGGTAAGGAACTGCAGTAACTCCAAGGTGCACGGTGCCTCTCATGGTTTGAATCCACCAGCAAATGTGTGGGAGAAAGATGGGAATATCTTCCCATGCAAATTACAGCCTCCAAAAACCAATGAGGCAATTTAGACTAAAGGGCAATGAGTCAAGAGCTTATATAAAGCAGAGTAAACAAGGAACAAAATAATGAAAATGTCTTAGCCATAATCAAACACCTTAAAAGAATGAGTTGCTGAGCCAGGAGCACAAAACAATAGGTATAGGGAACATCAAGGTTAATTAGAATAATACAGTCACAAAGGCCATGTTCTACATACTATTTTGGTGAGTAGCACCATCAGGATCTTAAATGCCTCCAAGTGGCCATCTAAAGTGCAACTACTGGTTTCTCTCCAAACATGGCAAAGAGTGAAGAAAATCACTAATCAGTCTATGTAAACATTTGTATCTATGACCTTAAGATTAGAAAAACTAGACAGTGTCTAGTTACTACTTCTGACAACTCTGAAGGGATCAAAATAGAAAATTATTAATGAAGAGAAAATTGTGGAACAAAACTCAGAATTCTAATAAAGACCAACTTTACTGCTCTGATAGAGACTGGTAGAACCTCTCAGAGACTACGGCCCTTTGTCTTTAAGCCACCACCATGCCTCAACTTTCTAGCCCAATAGGTCTATCAAGTGACCACCAACTCGAGGTAGGTACAAGCTCCTTAAAACAAGTAACCACACAAGATTAAAAGGGTATAATTTCCCATGTATAATGGTCAGGTAGGGACCGCTCCAAAGTACTGAAGAGCAATGGTGTCATTCTGGAGACTAAGGTGTGTCTGATACAGGCCACGGTCTTTGCAATCACTTGTTATGCATAAGACAGTTGGACAATGACTAGGGAAGAAAAAAGGAGAACTGATGCCTTTGAGCTGTGGTGCTGAAGAAGAGTACTGAGGGTACCATGGACTGCTAAGAAAACAAACAGGTTCATCCTTGAGAGGGTTAAATCAGACTGCTCCTTGAAGACAAGGATTCTGAGGCTTCGCCTGACATACTCTGGACATGTTATAAGCAGGGACCGGTCCTTGGAAAGGGACATCATGCTTGGGAGGGTGGAGGGACAGCGCAGGAGGGGAAGACCCTCTATGAGGTGGATTGATTCAGTGACTGGGGTAATCGGGATGGGTGTGTTGGAAGCAGTGCGACTGGCACAAGATAGAGCAGGGTTTAGGGTTGTTGTACATAGGGTCACTATGAGTCACAAGCAACTAGAAGGCATACAACAACATAATATTCAGGAACAGGAAGAGACAGGAATAAAAGGACAAGTGGAAACAGGAAAGATTTAAGGAGAGTATGTTAGAATATGGGAATTATAATCAATACTATAAAACATAAAGTGTATGAATTGTTTACTGGAGAATCAACTTGACTATACATTTTCACTCAAATCATAAATAAAAACTGGAAAAGAAATTTTAAGTAACTATCAAAATACACCTTTAAAAAGAAAATATAAGCTGCCTGGCTTAAAGATGTTGAATAGCTTGTTTATACTCTTCATCACTATTTGCCAGTTAAGCCCTTTAAGATAGTCACACCTAATTCACCTCTGTATCCCCGTAGAACTCCTTGAACACAGGAAAGGCTCAAATGAACGACTCTAAAAGGTATGACAGTCACCTAAGATAGGAGTGCCCACCTGAGAATGTTGATACAACCATTGCCATTTGTCAGGAAGAACATATTATTGTCATTGTTCCAGGAGATTTCGTTGACCTCAAACTTGAACTGCTCTTCTGCTTTGGAACGATGTGTCTTGGCATCAATGAAGGTCACCACATCATCCTTGTTGCCTACAGCAATTGTCTGCCCATCGGGACTCCAGCAAATATTGATGTTCTCCCCTGGGAAGCCAGATACAATGAGCAAGATACTTATCTGCCCCTATCCTCCAGTTGTTTATTTTGCTATTCTAGAAAAAAAGCCAGAATAAATGTCCTTCAAAGGCTCATTTATTAAGGTCCTACAGTATGGACAGTAACTACCATTTATGGATTACCAAATGAGTCCAGCTCATTCAACATAAATTTCCCATCATTTGATCATAATTCATTATTACTGGACATAGTATTATTAATGTTGTTATTGATGATGACTGCCTTCGAGTAGAACATGACTCACAGTGATGCTATGAACAAAAGGCCTTTCTGTAACCATCAACATTTATCAAAGTTCATAGAGTTTCCAGAGGCTGGAAGTGAATGCCACTCCTACTTCCAATCTAAAAGGCTAAGGGTTGCCATTTCAACCTAATTAAATCTAGGAAAGTGTAAGTCATAAAGCATTGTCTGCATACACAGAAGAGATCATCATGGGAACTCACAATATTATTAATACAGGACATAATTTTATTGTCCTTATTTTAAAGATAAGAACTGAGAGACCAATAAAAATGTTAAAGCTATGAAATGACAAGAGTTAAGACTGGAAGCTAGGTCTAAGATCTAACCTCAAAGCTTCTTATTGTCTTACATCAATATTTGCCAAACTTCAATCACTCACATGATGGCTTCACAGTTTTTGTCCAATGTATGGAGCAGCTATACTTCACTCAATGTTTTCCTTAACATTGTCATAAAAATACTTAAATTTACCTTCACCTTATGTAAGCCAATTTTGCTTTTAGTAGATATTGAAATAAATACGTAACTTTTTTTTTAAGGTTCAGCCACCTAAATTACTCATGCCTTTCAAGTGTGGTTTTAAAAGTACTAAATATTCCATAGATTGTCAAAAAAAAAAACAAACAAATTTGTCTTGGAAAAACTGCAGCCAGAATCTCCTTGGAGGCAATGATGGTGAAGCTTAACCTCAAAGAGTCTAGGCACGTTGTTAGGAAAGGCTATTCTTTTGAATGGGGCATCATGCTTGGAAAGGTGGAGGGTCAATGAAAGGAAGATTCTTAACAAGATGGACAGAGTGACTGCAGCAATGGGCTCAAATGTGTCAGAGATGAAGAGGATGGTACAGGAGAGTTCAAATCTGTTGTTCATAGAGTCATGTGAGTCATATTTGACTCAGCACCCCCTATAACAACATTACCACTTGTATACGTCAGGAAAGCACTGCATTGTTCTATTTCCCAGTACAAGTCTTATTAACAAAGTCCAGATTTCATCAACTTCATTGATTCTAGGATGCACATTTCTTCACATGTTAATATTTATGATGCATCTTTGAATACATCAAGATACATCTCAAAATCAGTGTTTCTTTCAGGTTGTCTGGCAGCTCTGTTTTTTCTTTTTGTCACATAAAATACTGGTACATCTTACTATCATGGACATTTCTGAGTCAGTGAAACATAGTAAGTGGCCTCAAGGTTCCCAGGACAGTGCTTGTGAAGAACAGGGCTTGTCACTGCAGGTTGCAACCTTTCCTCCCACTGCACTAAGGCCACCCACATCACAGATTTCTAAACTATTAGTAGTTTGCCAAATTTTCCCACCCACTGTTCTCTCACTCACTACACATCCTGACCATTAAATTTCTATTACTCTGAGAATCTGCTCCAGTTCTTTAAAGCCTTCCCTGTCTCTCCAATGCAGATCTAGCCATTTCCATTCTGGGTAGCCACCTTCTTCAAAACTAAAACCATTGCCATCAAGTCAATTCCAACACACAGCAACCATGGAGGGCAGAAGCAATCATAGCGTTTCCAAGCCTGTAAATCTTTATAGACCCAGATTGCTACATCATTCTTCCATGGAGAAGCTGGCTGACTTCAAACCATTGACTTTTTGTTAGTAGCCAAATGTTTTTAACCACTATGTCACGGGGGCCACTAGTGACACCTTACCTACACAGTTCAGTACAGGAAGAACATTGTCATGTTATCTTTTCTAATCATCCCTCTTGTCACATGAAACTGTGAGGTCTTTGGAGCTGGAGACTTTGCTCATGATAGACCTGCAATGAGATGGACTGACACAGTGACTGAATCAATGGGTTCTGGAGGGGCAGAGATGAAGGCACAGGATAGGACTGGGTTCAGATGATGTTCATAGATCGCTATGAGTCATACACAACTTGATGGCACCTAACAACAACATACCACATCTAGCACATAAGCAGGGAGCTCTGGTGGCACAGCTGGTAAAGAGCTGTGTTCAAACCCGCCAGATGCTCTGCAGGAGGAAGATGGGCAAACTCTTATGCCATTTACAGCCTCAGAAACCCAATGGAGTTACTTCCTACTTGACACCAATGAGAGCACAGAACAGGAAGACATTTAGTTGAACACACAGTAAATAAACAAAAGTAGCTTATCTCCTTATTTTCCTGAACAGGCACCTTTAGTGTTCACGGTGGCAATGCATTTCGTAGTCCTCACATCCCAGATTCGAATGGTTTTGTCTCCAGACGCAGTGACAAAGAGGTCAGGATTGCTTGGATGCCAGCAAAGCTGGTCCACACTATCCCCATGTCCCCGATAATTGTTTTCTTTGACCTGAAACAGAATCCAGATGTCATTTCACAGAATGCCACTTCTTCCACAGGCAGCTTCTTCACCTTATTCAAACTCTAGTATTTTGAGATCAAAAAGGACCTCAGTAATTTTTAAAAAGCCAATTTAAATCCAGTCCTTCTAACCTCTTTCTTTAAAACTATTTCGAATTCTTCCCTCCTCTTCAATCACTCGGAAGCATTCCATGAAACTTCCATATCCCCTTCTGGTTCTTGGCCTTTCTCCCTCCTGGTTCTCCACCCTTGTTCTCTACCATCTCAAATCCCTACCCTGCTCATTAATACAGGCTACACAGTCACTCTCAGTACTCACTGAGCACTCTCAGTAACAGTACTCCTCTCAGTACTCCTCATCATCGCAGGGGCATCCCTTCTCTGCCTCGCTGCCCCAGCTACTCATCACCACCTAACCTCTTCCCACCACTCACCCTCCTCACCATCACCCTCCCCTTCACGGCCTTTCTCTTCCACCCTTGCCCCCATCCTCCTCATCACCAGTTTCCACCCTTTCTCACAACAGCCTCTCTCGCAAGCCTGACCCAGGTTTGGCAGCTTACCAACCGGTCTTTCTCGAGCAAGAAGACGCTCGCTGTCTTGTCGAAGGAGCCTGAAGCCAGGCGTCTCCCGTCGCAGCTCCAGGCCACAGAGTGCACTTTTGCGCTGTGAGCTGGGAACTCGCGCGTCTTACTGTGGCCCCGAAAAAGCTCCTGCATCCCAAGCACGTAGCGCGATGGGCCACCGGTTACTGAGCACCACGGGGCCATCGAGCCAGGACCACTTGGGCCCAGGACAGAGGCCCCCAAGGCCGCGGTCGGAAGAGCCATGCTCAGTTTCAGGACCAAGCCTGCCGCCGTCGCCGCACGCATGCGCACACCATGCGCTTCGCCCCTGCGCAGCCTCACTCCGCATCCATTAGGGGAAGAACTACATATCCCACTATGCAACGCAAGCCCTCCTTTAACTTTCCAAATAGACTTGATTGTTTCTTAAATTTGCTTTACCATTTTCTAAGTGTTGTAAAGTGTTATTGTATCACTTGGAATTCTATTGAAACAGGCAGTATCATCACTACTCACAAATGTTGCATCTTCAGCAACTGGAATCCACCAGCAGCTCCGTCAGAGAAACATGGGCGATCTTTTTTTCCTTTCTCGTCTGTGGCTGGGGAAACTCAGTTAAGGGTCACTGAGCAGGAAAGCTCTTGAACAACCTGCATTACTAAGATGATACTTCCTTGCTTGCTGTAAGTGAGTAGGACCTGAAGCGTTTGCAGCTGAGGATCAAGGACTGCAGCCTTAAAAATTAATTACATCTCAACATAAAAAAAAAATCCTCAGCAATGGGCCAACGCGCAACATCTTGATAGACGTAGAAAATATTTAAATTGTCAACGATTTCATCTCTTCTGAGTCCACAGTCAAAATCCTTGGTAGCAACACACAGCAAATTGAAAGACTAACAACAGTAGGAAACTTGGCTGTTAGGAACGTCTCCAAAGTCCTGAAGGGCAGTGGTGTCAGTTTAAAGACTAAGGTGTGCCTGATTCAAACCAGTCTTTCCAGTCACCTGCTATGTATCTGAAAGCTGAACAATGAATAAGGAGAATAATCGATGCATTTGAATTGTGGTGTTGGAGAAGAGTCCTGAAAATCCCATGGGCTGCCAAAAATACAAACAAATACGTCTTAGATAAAGTGTAGCCGGAGTCCTCCTTAGAGGCAAAGATGGCAAAGCTTTGTCTCTCATACTTTGGGCGTGTTGCTAGGAGAAGCTATTCCTTGGAAAAGGGATAGAGGGTCAACAAAACAGAGGAAGACCTCCCTGCCCCCCCCCAAAAAAAAGATGGATCAGCATGGCTACTGCAATAAAGGGCTCAAGTGTGTCAGAGATGATGAGGATGCCACAGAATATGACAGGGTTCAGATCTGTTGTTCATAGGGTCACTGATTTGTAATCAACCACACCTAACAGTAACAAGTGGTAAGGAGTTGCACTTCCAACGCAAAGACACACAATTCAGATCCACCCACTGCTCTGCAGGAGAAAGATGGACATCTCCTCTCATATGATTTACTGCCTCTGAAAACCTGCTGAAGGATCAGGATCAGTGCCAACATGCAGGTACCTAAAAACAACGTGAGTCAGAATTGACTCAAAGGCATTGAGTTTGAGTGTTATTACCCTAATGTTCTCTGTTAGTGTAGTGGTTAAAGTACCCAACTGCTAACTGGTAGGCAGTTGGAACTAACCAGTTGCTCTCCAGATGTGGCTGTCTGCTTCCCTGTAGATTCCATGTTAAACCGGTTTCTATGCACTCATTTCCATTTATGAGTCCTTAAAGATGATTATTGTTGTTGTTGTTAGGTGCCATTGAGTATGACCCATAGCGACCCTATGAACAACAGATCCGAGCCCTGTTCTATCCTGTGACATCCTCACCCTGCTGACACATTAGAGGCCATTGTGTCAATCACCTGTTAATCTGCTTGGTCAAGGGTCTTCCTCTCCTTTGCCAACCCTTTACCTTTCCAAGCAACAAGTCCCTCTCCAAGGATAGGCCCTCTTAGCAACACACATATCTCAAATAAGGCTTAAAAGCATTTCCCCCCCCAAAAAAAAACCCAGAAGACATCTTCCTGAAAAGATAAGGACTATCTATTAATATGTTGTTGGTTTTGTGTGGCATCAAGTTGGAACCAACTCATAGCTGACCCTCCACAGAGTTCTCAGAGGCAGTAAATCACATGGGAAGAGATTAACATAACTATTATTCAATCATACACGTTGAGCATTAAAGCTAAAGATGACGAAATTGAGGATTTTTAGAGGCTTATGCAGTCTGAAATTTAGCAAACATGGAATCAAGATGCATTAATAATTGGTGATTGAAATGTAAAAGTTGGAAATAAAGAAGAAGGACTGGTAGTTAGAAAATATGGACTTGGTGACAGAAATGAAGCCAGAAATTGCATTCTAGACTTTTGCACAACTAATGACTTCCTTATTAATTGGAAATATCTTTTTTAGAAAACATCAATAGTGATGATACATGTAGACTTTGCCTGATGAAATTACAAAGAAACTAAGTTGACTCCATTTGTGGAAAGAGTGGAGAAACTCAGTATCAATAGTCAAAACAATGCCAGCAGCTAACTGTCCAACTAATTACCAATTACTCCTAAGGAGGTCCAAATTGAAGCTGAAGAAAATTCAAACAAGTCAATGACAGCCATAATAGGACTTTGAGCTTGTCCCACATGGATTTAAGAGCCATTTCAAGAATAGATTTGATGCACTAACACTAACAACTGAAGGCCAGACAAGTTATGGGATGATAGCAAGGACCTCATACATGAAAAAGCAAAATGTTGTTAAAAAGAAAGTAAAAAGCAAAATGGATGCCAGAAGAGACTCTGAAACTTGCTCTTCGATGTAGAAATGTCAAACCAAAAGGGGGGCAATGATGACTAGAATTAAACTGAACAGAAGATTTGAAAGGCCAACTCAAGAACATAAAGCAAAATATTGTAATAAAGAATTCAAAACTCTGGAGTCAGAGAAAGAAAATGGAAAAATATGCTTTTTCCTTCTCAAGCTGGGAAAAAAGTGAAAAATAAAGTCCAAGTTTCAAGTTGTAATACTGAGCGATTCTATGGGCAAAGCGATGAATAAAGACGGAATCATCAAAAGAATATGGAAAGAATGAACAGAGTCACAATACCAAGTAGGTTGGATGATGGTGAATCATTTCATGAAGTAGCAGATGACCAAAAAAGCTCATGGTAATGAAAAGAAACCAAGATGCACTGAAGGAATTGTTTTTTAAAAAAGGTTCCAAGAATTAAGTGAATATTAATTGAGCTGTTTTACAAAAAGGTGCAATTCTGGATGTGCTCACTAGTCTATGTCAAGAAAATTTGGAGACGGCTATCTGGCCAACTATCTGAAAGAGACCTATATTTGTGCCCATTAAAAAAAAATTTTTAAACAAAAGGTAATCCAATAGAATGTGGAAATTTTTCAACAATGTCCTTAATATTACATGTAGATACAGTCTTTTTAAAAAAA